TTAATTTTTTCATTACAAAAATAGAAATTTTTAAAAAATAAGCACGCATTATGGTAAAATTGACCCAGGAACAATTTAATTTAATGGGCGGCTGCGACTTCATTAGTAAAATTATGAGTAATTCCGGCTTAATTTTTTTTAACTAATCAAAATCGAGGATCTACCGCGCGGCACCTAGGTTCAATGAGCAGACATGTGCTGCGCGACACATTTCATCCAACCATTTGTTCTAACAGAACAAATTTTATAATATTAATCGTTGCATGATCCAATATCGATGTTATCGTGCAATTATGATCATGATTTGCAAGTCATTATTAGCTAACTGAGTTTTAATTCGAGATTGTAGTACTCATGTAATAGCGTACAAAAATAATAACAAGAAGAAAAAAATCTATGATCATAAGAGTTTGCACGATTACTGTAAAAAAACATACTCGCCATTTAGTAACAATATTTGTATTGGAAATTTCATAATTTGATGATATACTGTAAAAAATTTCATTTCAGGACTTACCACTTCAGTGACTACAGTATATGACTAAGTTAGTTCGCATTAGAATTATTGCGGCTTCTATGGTAAGGGGTTCTGTTTTCAAAATTACTCACTATTCCTGTGGCTACAGTATGTGGTTGAGTTGGCTTGTATTGGAATTATCACAATTTCTATACAGCTAAGGTTGAGTTAGTACATAATGAAATTATTTGGGATTACTATTGTAAGTTACTGTAAAATCTTATTCGTTATCCGCCGACCATAGTATGTGGTTGCGTTAGTTTTCACTAAAATTATGTTTTTTATCGTAAATTACTGTAAAACTTTTTACAAACCATATTCACTATTCCAATGACATATAATATGTAGCTAGCGTTGAATTGGTTAGTATTGGAATTGATGTATTTATATGATAAGTTACAGTAAAAAATTCTTTACATACTTGCTTTTCTAGTGATTACAGTATGTGGTTAAGGCTGAGTTAGATTTATTAAAATTATCATGGTTTCTGTATAGTTAAGTGGACTCATATTTGAATTATCATATTTCTATTGTGAGTTGCTATTAAAAATTTGGTCACATAACTTACTCGCTTTTTTAGTATTTAGTTAAGGCTGAGAAATTTTAAAATTACTGTAGTTAAGTTGAGTTAGTTCATATTGGAATTATCGTGATTTCTATTTCGGAGACTACATTATTATTTATGATTTTTATGTAGTTAGGGTTGGATTAGTTCTATATTGGAATTATCATAATTCTATTATGGGTTGCGTAAATAATTCTGTTACAGAACTTATTATCCATTCCTATGACTAGGTTGTGTAGTTAAAGTTGGTACTGAAATTATTATGAGTTGCAAAAAAAAAGTTTGTTCAAACTTGTTATTCTAGTGACACATAATATAAAATTATAAAAATTCTGTTACAGAACTTACTCGCTATTCCAGTGATCACATTATACAGTTACATCGGGAAATTTTTTCTATTCAGATCTGCAATATTCTGTAAAAACACAGAGTTTTATCGAAAAAAATCTTTAGTGCAAATCTGCAAAAATTTATAAAAAAAAAACAAAATTTTGCGCAGAATTGTATTTATTTTCTGCGAAAATAGCCACCAGGTTTGAAGATTTGCGCAAATTTGCAAATTTGCGTAGTTCTGCACTAAAAATTTTTCCCAATGTAGGACTGAGTTGGTTTATATTAAATATTATTATAATTTCCAGAATTTCCATGTAATTAAGGTTGAGTTGGATCAATTTTAAATCGTAATTTCTATTGAGTTGCTGTAAGTTCTTGGATTATCGTAATTTCTATTGTAAGTTGCTGCAATTTTAGTTTGGAAATATCGTAATTTCTATTGTAAGTTGCTGTAAGTCTGTATTGGGAATTATCGTAATTTCTATTGCAAGCGCATATTGAAAATAGCGTAATTTTTATTGATTTGCTATAAAAAAAATTCTGTTGCAAATTTAACTTGTAATTCTGATGACACATTATACGAATGTTAAGTTGGTTTTCTTTGAAATTTCATGACCTCTATCGTAAAAAATTCTGTATAGAACTTACTCACTATACCAGTAGCCACTGTATGTTGATAAAGTTGTTAGTTTGCATTAAAATTATCATGATTTCTATTGTAAAAATTTGTTATTTTATATTAGAGTTATCGCGATTTCTGTTGTGAGATATCGTAGAAAAAAATTTTGTTACAAACTTGTTATTTCACCGACACTTAGTATGCAGTTAAGGTTGGGTTAATTTGTTAATTTGTATTAGAATTATCATTATTTCTATTGTGGGCTACTGTAAAAATTCCGTTACAGGACTTCATTCTATTCCGGTGAGGTTGAGGTTTGCGGTGGAATTGTTGTACATTTCCGGTGGTCTTAGGTGCATTTCCAGTGGTCAGTTGTACATTTACAGTGGTCTGGTGCATTTCCAGTGGTCTTTGGTGTATTACCAGTGGTCTGTGATATATTTCTGGTGGCCTTTGGTGCATTTCCAGTGGTTTGTGGTGCATTTCCAATAGTTTGTGGTACATTCCCAGTGGTTTTTGGAGCATTACCGGTGGTTTGCGGTGCATTTCCAGTGGTCTTTAGAGCATTACCAGTGGTCTTTGGAGCATTACCAGTGGTCTTTGGAACATTACCAGTGGTCTTTGGAACATTACTAATGGTCTGTGGTGTATTTCCGATGGTCTTTGGTGTATTCCGGTGGTCTTTGGTGCATTCGTAGTGGTTTGTTGTACATTTCCGGTGTGGTCTGTGGTACATTTCCAATGGCTGTAGTACATTTCCGGTGGTCTTTGGTGCATTTTCAGTGGTCTTTGGTGTATTTCCAGTGGTCTTTGAAGCATTTCCAGTGGTTTGTGGTACATTTACGGGGTCTTTAGTGCATTACCAGTGGTTTGTGGTGCATTTCCAGTGGTATTTGGTGCAATTCCAGTGGTTTGGGGTTTAGAGTCTTTGGAGCATTACCAGTGATTTGTAGTGCATTTCAGGTGGTCTTTGGAGCATTTCCAGTGGGTTATAGAGCATTTCCAGTGGTTTGTAGAGCATTTCCAGTGGTTTGTAGTATATTTACAGTGGTCTTTGATGCATTTCCGGTGCATTTCCACTGGTCTTTGGTGCATTTCCAGTGGTCTATAGTACATTTCTGGTGGACATTGGTGCATTTCCAGTGGTTTGTATGCATTTACAATGGTCTTTGGTGTATAATCAGTGGTTTGTAGTACATTTGTGGTGGTCTTTGGTGCATTTCCAGTATTTTGGAGCATTATCAGTGGTTTGTAGTGCATTTCCGGTGGTCTTTGGAGTATCACCAATGGTTTATGGAGCATTTCCAGTGGTCTATGGTACATTTCTGGTGGAGTTTGGGCATTTCTAGTGGTTTGTGATGCATTTCCATCAGTGGTACATTTGCGGTGGTCTTTGGAACATTTCCAGAGGTTTGTTGTGCATTCCAGTGGTCTTCGGTGCACTACTAGTGGTCTTTAGTGGTGGTTCTTGAAGCATTACCAGTGGTCTGTGGTACATTTCCCGTGGTCTGCAGTGCATTTCTAGTTGTCTGTGGTACATTTTCAGTTGTCTGTGGTACATTTCCGGTGGTCTGTGGTGCATTTCTAGTGGTCTTTGGTGTACTGGCAATGATCTTTGGTGCATTACCAGTAGTCTTTGGTGCATTTTTGGTGGTCTTTGGAGCATTACCAGTGGTTTGTGGTACATTTCTGGTAGTTTTTGGACCATTTCTGGTTTGGGTATCTAATATCGGTTTAATCACAAACATAGTGAAAACTACATAGTGAAGAATTTTTTTTTCAGTGATTTTCTGACTTACAATTAGATCTTCCGATTTCACTATTTCCTATTAAATTATTATAAAAAAGTGATATTGTTCAAATTTTATTTCTCTTGAAGTATTTAAATATTTTCAAATTCTGCAAACTGTTTATACTTTATAAAACATATATTCTTTTACATATTATACATGGAATCTTTGCTATTAATATAACCCTCCGAGGCTATGTTGATTTTGTGAATAAAAATTAAATTTGCCAGCTATCTAGTAATCCAATTTGAATAAACTTTTTTTTATTTTGTAAATCTCAATAGAATCTACAAATTTAAAAAAATTTCATTCAAATTGGTTAGCTAGATGTCTGGAAATTTTAATTTTTATTCACAAAATCAACATAGCCTCAGAGGGTCATTTTGATAGCAAAGATCCCATATATATAATTATAATAATTAGAATTTTATATTTATTACTAGTTCAATGGGTGGCGCGAAGTGCCACCCATCTTATTTGTTATTTTGTTGAGTTTTGGTATATTGTATATTTATTGATTAGTTTTTTTTTTATCGTGTTGGAATATATTTAATAAGTAATTTGTATATTAAAAAATTTGAATATAATATGTAATTAATTATTTTTTTTTGGTTTAGGCAAGGAATGCTTATTTTGAAATTATTTATATATTTATTAAATGTATATTGTATATGGAATTGTTTCGTTGTGTGGATAAGAGTTTATGCTTTATTGGTTTAGTTTGTTATTTTAAAAGGTTTGATATTTTATAATTTATTCACATGTAATTTGTGAATTAAAATTTAATTCTGCTAATAAGTTTTTTTTTGTATGTACTTATATGTTATATTATGTTTGTGTATGTTATACGCTGTAAGATTTTGAATTTACTACATTCGGTAAGATATTGTATATATTTGTGCTGATGAAATGGTCGATATTATAATAAATTTTAGTTAGCATTATATTGGGTCTTATTGGTTTTAGTAACATTTTAATACGATATTTATAGTTTGATATTATGTAATATGAGTTTAGTTGATAGGCGTAGTTGTTGATTTGTTTTCATAATTTGTTGATTTTTAATTATTGTTGTATAATCATGAGAAATTTTTTTGTTATTGGATAATTTTTATACAGAGTTATGGCTAAGTTTATTAAGTTAAATTTTATAATGTTTTATTTATTAAGTTTTAGCGATGATTTATATATATTTAATTTCATTTGTGCTTTGTATTATGTAATCAGTTTTGTCATGTTGTTGATGAAAATTTTGGTAATTATTACATATCGTGTTAAAACTATCAGTAATTATTATATATTATTTTAAAATTTTTAAAAAAGATAAGTTGCAATTTTGTTTTTGAGTATTTATTTATTTTTTATTTGATTATTACAAATCAAATAAATAAGTAAATATCAGGTTGCTTTTTAAAAAAAAAAATTTTACTGAAAAATAAGTAAAAAAATATTACTGAAATAAATAAGAACCAAAAATAAGTTTGTTACTATGTCATGTTATACAGATACAATTGTCAGGATTAAGTATGTTCATAAAACTGAAAAGTTGATGCTAGTTTGATAGTTGTTTGGGCTATATATGCTGATGAAATTATTTTAGGTTCTAAACCTGAAATTAAAATTTGAAGATGAAATTGTTTTTGGCTTATTTTACTTAAAAGATGAAATTTTTTGATACTTTTTTTGAATAGACAAAATTATAAGGAGTATGAATATATAAATTTTGTTTGCTCTTTCTTATAAAAAATTTTAATTTGCTCTAATAGAAATCAATTTTGGTAGTATTACTAGTTTGAGCTATTGGTTTTTATCCTGAAGATTGTGAACAAAATGAGATTAAATTAGTCTTATTTGTATCTGTTAATCTTGATAAAAGAGATTAAGAAACTCAGGCTGTTTCAAGAAAGACAGTTTTTATTCAGTTAGTGAAAAAATCATGACTAGCTATTATAGAAGTAATAAAAAACCAAAGGTACTTGTTAGTGTTAAATCATTTTTGATATTACTACATCTATACTTATTTTTCATTCAATTTTAAATGACAGTTTCTATTTCAACTAGTATATCTATTCTTAACAAACTTGCTAAGTTAAATAAGTGCCCATTAAAAGTTTCTTTAGTAGAGTCTTCTCAAGAGTCACTATAGTTATTGGAAAATAGTGATGCTATTTTTAATGTGTTGATTAATAATTATGCTGGTTATAAGCATAATTTTATTGTTAAAGTTGTTTTTCCACATTTGAATTTGCATTTTTCTCATTTAAAGACTATAATTAATCAGCAAGTATCATTTATTTTTGTTGTTGAGTAGTTAGAGATTGTTAATAATACTTTTTTTGTTTATACGAAAGATATCAATTTTACTAATACTCTATTATCATCTAAGCAAAAAATGTTTGATAATAGTTATTCTTCTAAAGCTATCAATACTATTCATTTGAAACTACTTTCTACTTATCAAAATGTTATTAAAGATTTAAAAGAATCTTCTAAAGCTAAGAATAAATCAAATAGTTTAATCTACATTCTTCGAAAAGTATCTTTTCATCAAATCGTAAAAAGTCTGAATATTTAAGTAAATCTGTAGATATTTCAGATAGCATGAATAATAATTATTATCAAGATAAAATTTTCAATATGAATATTTTTGATCAAGATTATGAAAGCAAAGAAATTAAAAAAAAGAAAAGATGTCAAAAGAGCAGTATTAACAATTGTAAAAAGGGTAACAAAAGTGCTAATCAATCTTTGAATGATGGTAATAATGGTTATTTTACCAAGATGAAGTCATTGATACATATAAAATTAATCAAAAAAATGAAAGTGAAGAAAGTTCAAAAAAAAGAGAGGTCAAAAGAATATTGTCCATAGTAGTGCTAAAGAAAATAAACATAGTAGTTGATCTCTATATAGTACTTATAGATTAAATAATATGAATCTTGGTACAAATATTAAAACTGAGTAAGCTTGTTAAATATACTTGCTATTACAATATATATTTGTATATTTTTCTTGCGTATATATGTATATATTTTACATATTTTGTTTATTAGTTTAGCTTAGTATATAGCATGTTGTAGTTAATCATCCAAAGTATTTATTATTATGTTAAATTTGTTTTTATATATAGTAGGAGTTGGATATTTTATTTTTGCATCTAGTTTTAAATAATGTAAGTAAATCATTATTATTATTATTATTATTATTTGTATTGTGAATATACAGTAATTTATTAATTTATATCGGGAATAATGTTAAAATTGGCTGATGCTGAAATTTAGGATCTCTATTTAAATTTATAATATCTACTAAAATTTATATATACTTTTTTACTAACAATACTACTCACAAACCCTAATCTAACTCTAAAAAAAACCCCCTAATGGAAGACCTAAAAATTTTATAAATTTTATAATCAAATAAGTTAAAATTTCAGCATCATCTGAATTCAGTATTATTTCTGACAATTTATATACTTGTACTTGAATTTATTAAATTTAGCAGCATTATTTAGTAAGTTTAGATCCAATAATTTTATATTTTAAAGTACTTTGTATTAGTACAATTACTTGCTAGTTTTATTTTTATTACTTAAAGTTTATGTATATTTGTCTAGATAGTTTTTATTTTTGATTAGCAAACAAAAAAGTTTTTTTATTATTCAATAATTTTGCAGATTTGATTATTCTAAGTCACCTAAGCAATTCCAGAAATATAATATTTTTAGTTAACAAATTTGTTAAACAGTTTTTTTCTATACATATTAAAATGTGATTTCATTGTCAAACTTGTGTAAGAGCAGTATATAATTGCCTGTAACTGAATACTGGTGTGCATAAATTAAGTACAACTCAATTTAGTGTTAAACCTTGTGAAGAGTTAAAAGTTGAAAAATAAGCAAGACATAATGGAAATTAATAGCAGCTAATCTTGAATAGAAATCGTAATACATAAAATAAGAAAGTGATTTTTGGTAAATATATTACTGAACTTGTTGCAGGGTTCAGTATAGTGATTAATCTTCATTCTATATCTAGAACAATAACTTTGCTATTTTTACATAAGCTATTATATAATAAGAAATTTTTTATTATAGTTGCAACATATTCTTTTTTTAGAGTTAGACAGTGCTTTGGTATTCTGGATACATTAAATATATTTAAAATTCAACTGATATCACATTTCTTTGAGTCTGGTTTGCTATTGTCTCATTATTAGCTAAGCAATCCATACTGTATAGATCAACTGTGTCACCTTTTAATCTTTGTAAAATAATTTCATTAATAGATTCTACTTCTATATTTAATAGACAAAGAATCACATGTTTCTGGTATTTATTTAGATTATTTAATACAGTTTTAGGAAAGGTAAAATCAAATATATTATTTATTTCATGAGTTGTTTTTAATAATAGCAATAATATATCTTCACTATCAATACCATCACCTATTTTGTCCATTAGTCGAGATTATTCTAGATTATAAGAATCACGAACTGGTTGTTTTAGTTCATAAACTTTAAGTAATTTTCAAATCGGAGAAAACTTAATTGATTCTAAAATTATAGCTGTTTTGCCAGAATGTGGTATTACAGGTGTGACTTGATGGAAATTGCTTATTCCAAAAAATATTTTCTCACCGAATGGTAAATTATTGTTGCAAAGTTTTTGAAGTAAGATATCAACGGCTTCAATATTTTCTTTTTGAGCTATTGGCAATTTATCCCAGGTAATAACTGATGATTTTTGAATCAGTTTAGCATGATCACTATTTAAACTTATTTGATATTTATATTCTTCATTATTATCTTCAATTAGAATATAGAATAAAGAGTATGCTGTATGTCCTCTATTATAATTTAATGCTGCTAAGCCAGTTGTCACACAAGGTAGTATTATTTTTTCTAAGCAACTTAAAGCAATACATATCATTTATTAAAAATGTTTTTTTACATCCTGTACACCTGTTTATAAAAATTATTAAAGGTTTGTTATGGTTCATAATTTCTTGATAAATGCTTTTTTGTTCAATATTAAGCTCACTTATTATTTTATCACACATTGCAATCAACACATTGTAATTATTGTAACATGCTTGTATGTGCATTATTTTATTATAATGTTTAGATAGTTAAGGTAAACCAAATTGTGTTATTTGATTACCTTGCTCTTTTAAAATACTTGCAATTCACATTAAAGCTTCATTTTCTTCTTGTCAAATATCACTTCTTTTATTAATATAATCTGCTGATAATAATATATGATGAGTTTGCCAAATAGTCTGTGCTGCTATACCTTCTAGTATAAGACAACAAAAAAGCAATCTAAGTTGTGCCAGAGTATATTTGTAGGATACAGCTTTAGCAAAACATTGCTTATTTTTATTTACATCCTCCAACAATCTAAAAGCATATACTACATCTTGAAAATTGAAGTATAATATGCTATTTACTATATGGGGGCTCCCATAGCAAAAGGTGGCTGTAGGACAATTATGTGATTTTGAGAAAATTATATTGAAGATTATTACATGATTAATATTTACTATGATAATAGCAATAAAAAGATTAAATTTATATACTTTTTTACTAATAAATTTAATCAAATAAAATCATTTTTAGAAAAATAGAATTTGTAAATAAATTATTATAATAAAATCTTAAATTTTAATTGGCTGGCCTACAGCTACCTTTTGCTATAGTACCCCATATGTAGTTCTTTAAATGTTCTAGCTACAAGACAACTCAAAAATATACATAAATAATATTTTTTACCAATACACAGTCATATTATATTTATTCTCATTATATGTATATGATTTGGTTTATATAGCTTGACAATTTGTTATTGACAACCTTCTTGTTTTTTTTTTAAGTAAGTATTTGGAGGCAGTGATTGTTAGTTGACTAAATTTTCAGTATAAGCAAATGTATATAATTCATAGTACTTGCAATAAATAAGTATATCAAATTCTATATTTGTTAGATGGAGAAAATAATATTGTAAGGTGGGAGGATTATTATTACTTCCCTGTAATATTGTTTGTTTGCCAGGTAAATGAACTGGCAAACATGTTACTAATAGTAATTGTAAAGTTATTCTGTATTTAAAAATTCGCCAAATGACTTCTATTGCAGAAAAATTATGTGTTTTAATATAACCTTTAATTTTATCGATTGTTTTATCATTTTTTCCCATATAGATAGTAACTAATACCCAATCTGGACCTTTGTAAATATATTTATAAAGGTATAAAAATATATGTGAAGTAGAAGCTACTTTAATATTTATATATGAATATTGCTTTAATAAAAAAAAGGGATTGTATGATATGATGTTTACATCATTTTTAGTGTGTTGTCAATAATAAACATAACTATATTTATTTATTGTAGTATTTTCTTTCAAAGGTTTAGGATAATTCCAATGGCAATGATTATTACATTATATACATCTCAGAGTATATTTATAAATCATATATTGTTTTATTAAGTTATAGAGATGGCTTTGTCGAAAATTATTACCCACAGGTAATTTGGCACTTATTAATTTATCAATATTCTCAGATTCAAGCAAGTTTGAAGATAATTTAATTATTATATAAGCATGTAGTAAACCATGCTTCTGAAATTTAATAGCATGTAGAGATTGGAATCAGTTTAGTTGACTACTATGTTTAGTCAACTAATTAGTTGACTAAACATAGTAGCTTACTATAAAAATTTTTTAGTTGACTAAACTAATTCCAATTCTTAATAGTATGTATAAAGTAAACTATTTTTCCAAAGTATGTTTTTAGTAATTTATGCAAATAAGTATGCATTGCTTAAATACTTACACTACAATATTTGGTCAGTTAGTATAATTCTGGCTAGTACATAGTTGTTGTTGTATTTTTGGCTAGTTTGAATTTGTAGTAAAAGTAATAAACAGTGTAGGCTAACCCAGTTTACTCACTACCGCAAGAGTATTCATCATTTTTTTGTAAGATCACCTATATGAAAGTGAGTGCGATGCTGGTAAATAAATATTCTTTGGATATAATTTTGCTTCTTTATAAATTATTTTGTCATTTTCATAATTATTTTTCTTGAATTGATATTGTTCTTGACATATATACTGTAAGCATTCATCATCTGCTTAGCTAAACATATCTACTAAATATTTATTAAAGAGATGGTCAAGCAAATGAAATCAAGTTTTGAATATAATATAATAACAATAATAATCAACTTGAGAAATTTTTCACAGGTTTGAATATTCAGAATCTATCTAGTACATATACCAACCTATTTCACTATGTAGAAAAAATAATAGATACTGTAATGCTTTATAATTTTTATTTAGTATAATAATATAAATAGAAATTTTTTACCAATATGCCAAATTTGTATATGCCATTCTTGTATTATAGCTGTTAAATAGATAATCGTAGAAGCAGCAACTTCAGTATCATTTGTTGGCCATTGAATTACTAAATGTGCTTGAGGATAATCTACATTGTATAGTTAATATAAATCTCTAACAAATAGATTAACTATAGCAAATTCTTGCTTGATCAAGTTTACTATTTCTTGGTCAAGTTTGTGTTGATTAGCAACACAATTCTGTGCTTCAGCACCATAAACAAACCAATTTGTTAAATACTCTTTAGTATTAGCAAGATAAACTCAATAATAAGCATGATCATTAATTGCAAAGACATGTGGATGAGATAAGTAAACTATACCAACTGTATATTCAAGAACTATAAAAGAAAATAATGAATTGTATTGATGACTATTATGACTAAAATTATCAGGGTTTGAAATATAAAGATTTTGTAAAGTAAATAGCAAAAGATGAAGAGATGAAATAGTACGTTGTAATATGT